GAGAGTGATTCTCAAGTACAAAAATCCAAAAATAAGGACAACAGACGAAAGTCAAAAGTTGAGGATGAAAAGATTGGCACAGATCCTGCTTCATCAGATACAGCAAAATCCAATAAATTGCGCAGAAATCGCCGAAAAAAGGAACCTGTTTTGGGTGAATCAAGCATATCACCCCAAGCTGTGCTGGATGCAAACAGTGCTAAAATGAAAGAAAGAATTGGTCCAATATGGTTCTCCTTAGTAGCTTCTGAAGACCAGTGAGAATGCAGAGCTTTGAAACTTGAATTAATGTGGAATATTTTGAATTTTGATGCATAAAGTTATCCTGTTAATTTTATTTATTTATTTATTCATTATACTTGGACTACTGATTCAGGGATGGAGATGCGCCACTGCCCCAAATTTCTGCAAGTTACTTAAGAATAAAGTAAGTTCCTTCCTAATCACTACTCCTTAATTTTTACACTATTTCTCTTGTCTTGGTTCGATGCATTTGTTTATTATAAAAAGCACAGCGTAGAGGAATTTATGATACCATATTATTGAGTAGATCTTGTGTATATATTGACAGTAAGTAAATGATGGATTAAAGAGTAATTACATGAGTACGTGTTTAATATGTCCTATTGTCTATCTGTATTCCTTAGTGGTTAATGCAATAAAAAGTAGGTTAATCTCTTTGACCTAAAAGTAACACATATTGATGCTTCTGCATGATGATGCTTTAGAATTTCATACAGTGCAAGGAGAATAAATTTCTTGATCTCATCTTGTTTGTTCAAGAGACTTTTTTTTCTTTAGCATGCCATGCATGAAATTTGATAAATATATGAGCATTGACTTGATGAAAGGTTGAGCACATGAAGACTTGGAAAATTGCGACAATAATAGGGTAGGAAGTACCGAAGTAGGAACTCAGATGCAAATCATATCAGATTCATTTTTAAGATCTCATTTTTTTCCCTATTTTCTTATTAGTCATTTTATAATACAAAGATAAGCGTCTTCATGTGGTCTTCCCTAAGTTTCTCATAAAGACAATTTTACCTTCAGTTGTTGTTACCTTCAATTTAGATATTGAAACTTGAAATTACTCTCATATATATATATATATATATCTTCCAGAGTTCACCACGCTTTCCAGCTTATCATCAGGCATTCTTCATGCTTCATATTGGGGGCCATAATGGGATAGATCTTACCTTTAGGACAGGGTAACTCCTTTTTTATATGTAATTTAGATCAATTTTTAGTTACCTTCCCTCCTGTGGAATGGAGACCATTCCTTAGCGATATTTTATATTTTTTTAATTATAAATGATTTGCTTTATCGATGACATGATTAATGTCTTTGTTCTTACCATTTAATAACAAATCATGGTAATACATAACCTATACAATGATATAATTGGGAAGGAGGGAGGGGACTAGAGATTGTCTGGTGAATTTAAAGCAATTGTATATTCCATTTTCCAAGAGTTCCATACAATCATGGAGGTTTTTTCTTTCCTCGTGTTTTAAAAATTGCGATGTACACGCTTTATACAAAAGACTATGACTTCCTCTTTCCCACATGTGGAGTACAGTGGTCATCTCTTACATAATCCAAAGATACCTCAGGAAGAAACTAGATTTGTGACTCCTCACCTTTGATTTTTGCATTACACGTCAGCTGTGTTAATCAAAAGCATGAGGCATTTTGAAAGAATAATTACATCAAAGTTCATGCCTTGGTTAAGTATCTGTGACCGAGATTATGACCCTATGCTGCATGTATCAGTATCATGTATGTACATATGCACGTGATCATTTTGTTCTTATCAGCTAGTGGAATATCAATCGGACTGTAATAATGTCCTTTTGATATCTGACGCCTTTCTCTTGTTCTTTTTGCCAGGGACGGGAACATGCCTGTCTCATTTATCCAGAAATACCTAATGAAGAAGTTAGATCTGACCAGCGAAGCAGAGGTGATTCACTCCCTCTCTTTTCTGTTATCATTAAAGTGAATAGCTGCATGTGAATGGTTTTATTGTTTTATTTGGCTTTCTGGTTGGATGCATGAATTTAATGTATTTTAAGTTTCTGTTTTTTTTTTTTTTCTGAGAGCCAAGTTCATGACATCTGCTAATGTTTAATATTCATGACCATTTGATACTTTGATACCTGTACTCCCATACTCCCAAACCACCCGCACAGCTTACAGCTTATGCAGGCATCCTCTTTATCCATCATATGACAAGGCATTGACGTAACACTATCATATTCCTTTTAAAGGTCCCTTTCTGCATGTTATCTTTTACTCGGTTGCATCAAACACGATGGAAAAGTGTCTAAACCACAAGGTGTCGCATGTCAGTCCATGAATAATTTAAGGTTGTCAAATAAGAAAGCATTTTACTTGTAGGAAATTCTTACTGCATTAAGTGCTCCCTTATTTGTGTTAATTTATGACAAGAACTAAGAACTATATCTTCCTTCTGACATTTGGTGCTGTGGAGGGATGAAATCAGTTTGCTTGTAGTTAGCTCTTCATGTTTGTTTAGAAAAATGTTTGCTGACACTTAGTTGATTACTGTGCAGGTTGAGATTAAATGTATGGGTCAACCGGTGGTCCCTACATTGCAACTAAATAACTTGGTTGACTTATGGCTGCAATCAACGTCGACATCACAGAGAATGCCAGCAACCATTGGATCATCAGCAAAAGACTTTGTCATGGTCCTGACCTATGCTCGCAAGGCCCCACCTCCTTGATCCATGTGCATCCTCATTCTGTCTCGGTTGCTGTATAATCATCTCCATGATCCATCTTCTTCCTCATTCTATCTCGGTTGCTGTATAATCACCTCCTTGATCCATCTTCTTCATCATCCTGCCTCTATTGCCGTACAAATCGCCTCCCTCCACTGGCATTTATGCTGACACATACCTTTGATAATGCTTCCAGTCAACATATGCTGCTTTTAGCCGCATAATGAGGAGAATAAGAAAGGTCACATAAGCTCTGCCTTCAATATAACATGATTTTTCTGTTGTTGATTAGGTCTTTATTTCACAGGTGCTTGCTTTGGTTTTTCATTCCCTTTTTTTAATTATTTGATGACTCTGCGGCCTGCATCGTTTTTTAGATAAACTTATAATAGTTACATGTCAGCGTACTTGAATGCAACAGATGATTTCTTGAGGAGTTTCACAGTTGAATCGTGTTTTTTCTTTTTAGATTACATAATTTAAGATTCGATTTTGAACCCATCTGACTTGATTAGTTTCCTCATAGAGCTGACAAAAATGCATACTAGATCCTGCGTGTCGAATAGAAGAATCCTGTTATTGATTCCTTTCTTGACTTTTTTTACTATTCATTTGATTAATAGAACAAGAAAATTTTAATGAACCCTATGGAATTAAAAACGTTAATTAATACCATGTGTGAACTGAGTGATAAAATAACCAAATCACTTCTTTTAACCATCATATAGAACATAAATCATTTTTACCGCCAATCTAGCCTAGATTACAAGCTTTGTGCTTTTTCTGACGCTAGTAGGAGTAGCTTCTTTTCTGGTTTCATATAATGCGATAAAAATGAGTAAATTACTAATTTTGGCCAAAAAAGAAAATAAATCAGCTAATAGTAAAACTTTGACAAATGCGTATCATCGCGTGATGCTCCGACTTCACAGAATAAAACTAGTCTGCTCTATAATGAGACACGAAAGCGAATTATTTTCTTGCAGATGGTTGCGGATGATCCAATCCTTGAATTGCGCTATGCGTTGGCAGTTTGGCGCTGCTTGTATGGCTGGCGCTATTTCTCCTTTTATATTTACCCTTTTCAAAATTTTCAACACGTGCTATATTGTTAAGCATCCTAACTAGACTGTCATGATACAGGCCTAACTAAAAATTATACTTAACTAATAATATTTTTAGATAAGTCTAACTTATGTGTGTAATAAATTAAATAGTTTTAAATAACTTTTGAATATTTCTTTTTAAGCAAATTTAAATAAATGAAATTTACTTTGTGTCTGTATTTTAGGAGGGTTTGGATTCATTATCTCTACTCGTATCCCGTCTTACCTTTACCATTCAAGCTAGCTTCAATGACAAAATATGTTAAAATCACGTCATTTTATAATTAAATTTCTTAAACAAATAGTTTGTCTTTTATCAAGTTTTTTAGTTCGTTATCAAACATAACAATGCTAAACCCTTACATTTGGTTCAATTAACATTATTTCTTTTACAAATTTAAAAGCAGAAAAAACATTTGAAATTTTTAAAAATAATTATTTTATATATTGTTTTATTTTATTCATTTTGCTTTTCAAACTAATAATTGATATCTAATCTCCAATTAACCAAATTAGATTGATAATGCACTGAAGGCATGTAAATATCAAGATCTAACGTACAATAATATACCATTATAGCACGCTACATTATTTACAAATATTTACAAACCATGAATATTCATTCTTCAAATTCCACATAATACATGGGAAAATTGTCTAGTTTATTATAATTATTAATAGAAGAAAAAATATAATTTTTGGTCCATATAATTTTATTAAATTTTGCTTTTAATTTCTGTAATTTTTTCACAATATTTTCAATCCTTATAAAGTCTAAAATCACTAAAAAATAAAAATTATAGAGATTTGAAAAACAAAGGTTATCAAATCTTTTTGAAACTATAGGGACTAAAAACACTAAAAAAACTATAGAGATTAAAAGCAAAACTTGATGAAAATATAATAATCAAATATTATGTTTTTCTTAATAGAATCACACTAATTAGCAAAGAAAAATTGATTCAATTGATAAGGAGTTCATTTATATCCACAAAGAACATACATTCAAAACTAACTAATAATGTCTTAATTTTAATGAGCCCCAAATCCAACTCACCAAAATTTTCTTTTTACTTTTTTTGAAAGAAACACATTCTTCTTTGTGAGAAGAGGGAGAACCTTTCATGGGGACAACTGGACAAGTAAACACGACAACAGGCCAACATTTTGCTGAATCGAGTATGAGGTGAATGAAAGAGCACTTTTTGTTTTTGGTCCAGAGGCCCGTTTACTCACCAAAAGTCAAGTAAGTGATCAGACCCGCCCTTCAGTCCAGCTGCTTCCGCTCGTAATTTGTATCGACGACTGCTCCAAAATTTGTTGAGACTCGATGAGTTTTACTTCCTCTGCATTCCAATGGTTTACTTTACTTCCTAGGACGAGTTCACTTGTTCCGTGCCGATCCTCACGCTGTAAGATTTTCTCTTACACGTCTTAGTCTTACAATTTCGTATTTTTGCTTTTCTTTTTTCCCCAGTATTCTGGTTGCCGAGAAAATAGATTCTGATCGAACAGAATGCGATTTCTATTAAAATTGATGTCTCCACTGCTTTCTTTATATTAATGTTTTTCTCTTGGAAATAAATGTTGGACTGGATTTAGGATATAGACGCGATATGTCATGAAGTATACACTGTGATGGAAAATTGGTGCTCAAGGCCTCCGATAATCGACAGGTACACATCCTCATCTTCTGTGCCTTTTGCCTTTAATGTTCTAACGATACATTTTATCTTTTTGTGTGTGTGTTTTTTGTTGAATTCCATTGGCTACAAGAATCAATTTCAGAAAGAAAGTCCGTGTTTTAATTGTTGGAGTGCGAACCAAATTTAGATTAATCTTATGTTGTTGCTTCCTCATGTGGAATGTAATAAAGTTTAATGGTCCAGATAGATGAATACAGAATCGGTGCGAGTATTTCAATTTTGTATGCTTTCTATAAATTTATTGAACAGAGCCCTTTTTGCCTTGCCACATGATTATTCACGTTAGTCCAAGTCATCAGTTGATGGGCTTTATTGACCAGTTGTGCCAGTCCCCTCATGCTTCTCTCGGTTTTTGACTTTGGCTAATGAGAGAATAAATTTGTTTCAATTATTTGCGTGTAATCCGAAGGTTTAATTTAAAATCTTTTATGTAACGTTGTTAAGTTTTTTTACATGTCCTGATTGTTGCAATTTCTTTATAAACTTTCCTTCTCTCCTTTATAAGTGCATGCCACTTTCTGCATATGGTCTAACTTTTTTTTCTATTAGAATTTCATACATCACGTCAGAGTAATTGTACAATTTGTATCCAGTATGTGATTTCCACATTTTATTGCATATGCGGACTTGGTTTTGGCGGAGCAGTCTTTATTAGGGAGGAAAGGAAAAGATGAAGCTTCATTAAAATGTAAGTTTGGCCGAGTAATTTCGTATAATTAGAAATATATCACATCCACTGTTTTTTGTTTTGGGGGCCAAAGATCAAATCCTCTGTTAAATGCCATAAAATTTTGAAGATTTACGGGGGATTCTCTGTTTACCATTCGCAGTTACAAGCCTTTTTGAAAAGTTCCATAGAAACAAATCTCTGTAACTATAGACGCGCTTTATAAAGTATGGACTTTTAGAAAAATGAGTTCTGTTCATGTTAGGTGCTTGTATTAAAGACAAGAAAGAACTTTAGAATTTGTTGATGGCATATTTGTTTGAGTGTGAGTGTCCATGCATCTTCATTGTATCGTTATTATTTAATTTACATCATCGATGCCCAGTGCTGAGGATGATGCTATTATCTCTAGGAATCTCTAGTGGTGATGGAATTAATTCAGTGGCACTATTTTACTTATGCATATTTTTATACGCTCGCTGGGTTTGGGAAGGGATGCCGGATGGCAAGTTGTTCATTTTGCTTTTTGGGATGAACAAGTTGTCCACTATTGGTGATGCTGGCAAGTTCCTTGCTTCCTTTGCCTGTAAGGTGGCTGAGAAAACTACACAAATTGACAGTTGTTATTGGTGTGGTCATTGCCATGAAAGAGTTGGACATGGCAAACTTTGTTTTCCGTGGAGGAAAAAGTATAATTCAAGCCGAATGTGACTGCCGGTATCAATTAAATTCGCATGAGCTCATGACTACACTGTCTACATAGCCCCTTAAAAAATAGATTCTAAATAATATCATTTTTGTCGCTTGTATGAATGACGCGATGCAGTGAGTGATTTGCCGTAAGTTTATATTCCTTGCACTTTTTCAAAAGCTTTTTGGACTAACATCTTTTCTTATATGCCCATATCAGTGTCTGAAGTATAAGACAAACCAAGAGGCTAAGAAGATGGGAAAACTTAACGATATATTCTTCACTTTGATGACTCGGGGACCGGAACGTATGTGTACGGGGGCATCTGAAAATCACTCTCCATGTTTTTCATTAAATTTAGACAGTAAGAAAAAGCGCGCATATATTTTTCTGAAATAGTTTGAAGTCGTTTTAAATGCAAACGATCAGCATGAGACGCACGTTTATGTTCCTCGTGTGTATTGATACTTTTCCCTGCTTTAGGCCTCTGAGAAGAATGATCTTCACTGCACTGTGGCTGGTTTGTGAATTTGACTATCCATTAATTGTGCAGTGGATCTATCATAAGTCACTGGTAAAGAACAAATAGAGGCACCAAAAAGGGAAAAGGAAGGAAGCAATAACTGAATAGCTGATGTCTTCAGCTGTGCATGCCCTTTATCAACTATAAAAATAAAATTATTGGACTTATTGTTTTCCATAAGCTTCGCCAACCTTAGTGTGGTAAATGCTACTGTGAAGTCTAAATCGGTTTTATATTGTGATTCTGTGAATGCAATGATTCCCCTGAGAAGTGGTGTATACCACACTAAGGTTTCTAATTCTACAGCCAAGGGCGCCTTCCTCGGATTCGGAGAAAGAAGTGGTGTTTCTTACTTTCTTGCTCTCTGATAGTCTTTTAAGGCTCAGTTCACCAAAAGCAACCCAATTTTTTCGTGCATAAAAGCAAACCGATTCAAGTGTAGGGTGTGATCACAGTATGAGTCATGCGTAGTTTTCTTAGACTTTCATTGTTAATCTAATCTGGTGTTTTATTGCAATGTTATACTTTACTGTTGATCAATTGGATAATGCATCAAGTTTGAATAATAATTGTAGTTCATGGTAGGTTATTGCTTTCGTCCTGAATACAAAAGGACTCCATCTCATCAAGTAATGACTCCGTTGTAGCATATTCTCTTTGTTTCTATGTATAAGAGAAAACAATTCTATTATCTAATTTTAAAAAATTAGTTGACAATGATAATTATTTCTATAAATAAAAACAATTGGGTTAAAATATCCTTATATTTAATTAAGATAAGATTGCATTAATTGTTTTACATGAATGAAAATTATGAATGTGAGGGGTAATTTAAAAAAATTGTAATAAATATTTATTAAAATATGTGATTTTGTTTGTAAATAAAAACAAAACAAATGTATTTTCTTTTATATATAAAATTGAAGGAAGTATCGTTTAATTAATCACTTATGTATCCTTAAATGTATTAAACACCCTCAATTAATGCTTTAAGTAACAAATCTTGATTAAAAATTTTGACCAATCCAAGACTGGTAATTCACTTTGGTCCGTTACTAAATTTCTGTTTTTCCGTTCGGCTTACACAATTTGAGCAAAGTCCTATCATAGGAAGTTTTTTACCTCAAATGAAACCAAACAAAACAATAAATGCCCCTAAAACTTGCAAAATTGCATCGTAAGAACAATTCTGAGAATCGCTTGAATTGAAAACGAAGAATTGTAATTCATTGTCAAGTTGTGTAGCAATAAAAGAGAGAAATTTTGTCGCTTCCAAAGTAAAACTGTTGCGAGCCAGGGGCTGAGATGACTACACTATACGTGCACGGCAGAGTAATTCAAAAACGAAGAGCAGGTGAGTGATGAGCTTTGGAAAATTTTGGACTTCCACTTGGTGAACTCGAATTATATTTAGGTGAAGCAAATCGTAGAGCAAGCAGCGAATCTAGAACCAAATAGATTGGATAACCCCAAATTTAAGGTTCCAATCATGGCGTATTTGAATAGTTCAAAAACCTGCTTCACCAGATCCCAAGGTAAACAGTTTGCTTGTGTCTGCTTTATTGGCCAATCAAAAAGTAAAAGCATAAAATCCATGTGCGACGAAAAACATAAAGCTTGTAAATTTGTACCCTTTTCCCCTCTCCCGTGAAAGATACCAGTAAAGAACAAAGACATTTGGGGAAAATATTCTTCAATCAGATAAAGCAAAACAGATGGACAGAATGTTTCTTTGGGTGGGCAATATGACAGGACAAATTGCATCGTTTTTGCTTTTAATTTCATTATGGTTTGTTCCAAGGTTAGTGGGGTCCTCTTGAACATAAATCTCAAGCTACGAGTAGCTTATGAGCATGAGTCACTAATCCTTGCTTCGCCCTTTGAAAGAAGGACCAAAAGGCGTTTGCTTGCCTTGTAGATTCTCACTTGCGTGACATTTGAGCGTTTTTTAATGTGAATGTCCGCGTCTGAGTTGGTTCTTTATTAAGCCACCGAACCAAAAAAAGGTGGAAAAAACAATAAATGGCGATATCCAGTTTATAAAGAATCGAGGCTGAGAGGAAGCTAGTGAGACGATATTTGCCTGGAGGCACTGTACGAGTTGCCCCTTTATTTTAGAATTGAATGCACATGATGGACAGGGAGAATTTCGATTCAGTACCCCTATAGAGTTTTAATTTCAAGTGAATCTACAAAAATTTTAGTTTAATTTAAGAGAGAAAATTTAAAAGAATTTTATTAGTGAAAAACATAATATACTCTTCACTTTTTATGCATAATTATTAGTTGTCAATTTTTTATTCCACTTATTAATTTACGAATATGAGTTATAAATTATATGAGTTGATATGTCAATAATTATATAAAATTTAACATTAATTTTTTAATTATAAACAGCAACATCAGTTGTTAAGCTACAAATTTTACTTATTAATTTATTAATATCAATTATAAATTATTAATAGGTTTTGTAATTTACAAAAATTAATTACAAATTATTAAAAATCTTGTAATTTATAATTAATATTAACAAATTAACAAATAAAGTTAGTAAATTAATAATTAATATTGTTAATTGTCTGACAAATAGATGTAATTTATAAATGATATTTGTAAATTAATAAATGTAATAAAAAAATTAATAATTAATAATTTTACATAATAAATAAATGATATTTTAATATTTTTATTAATGAAGTTCTATTAATTTGTCTTTTTTAAATTCAACTGAAATTTAAAAAAAATTAAGCTTACCTAAAATTAAGTCTTTCCGGAGGTAGTGAATTGAAATTCTCTCTCATGGATATGTTACTTTTTTTGCCACCAGAATTTAAATGATTAAAAAAAACAAGAGAAAAGTTACATTAGGATAGGACTGTGCCCTACCACCGACGGAGGAAATGGGAGCATCGAAAAAAGTGCCCAATTGACAACAACATTTCCACAATTTCGTTGAAATATGGTGAATACGGTTTTCATAATCATGCATTCTTAATATGTTGATTTTAACTTGTTCAATTGTCGGAGATTGTTCTATTACCCCCATTTTCACTGTTTCACATATATGAGTTCCATCCATGCATGCATTACACCAAATATAAGAAATAAATTATAATGTTCGCGATTTATGAAAAATGTAGTTTATAGAATTTTCAAAATTTATGATATAAATAGATTGAGAAATAAAATAATAATAATTTTTCACGCGTGTACTCGTGATTCAGCATTTACATATGGTTGTGTTATAACATTATGCCTCCGCCGCACCCAATCCAAGAAGAGTGCAATTGCGCAAAGATTGAACATGACTCTCTTGTTGTCGTAATATCTAAATATCTGTTTGTCTCTTCCATTCGTTACTTGTGCTTGTTTGAACAGAGCATGTTTGAATCTCCCAACACGGCCGCGCGTTGGTTTTGTGAAGTTGGGTTGATGTTTAAGGGTGTGTTTGGATTTCGTTTGGATAAAATTAATTAATATAATCGATTATATTGTAACGTGATCATGTTTTGATGGTATTTTTTGAATTTGATTATGTTGAAATTAAAAATGTTTGAATAATTTAATTAAAATTAATTTTATATATACAAATTATCATAAAAGGTTGTTTTTTAACAAACAAAATATGTTGACGTTCGTGTCAGTTATAATATTAATAAAATAATCATATAAATTTTGTGAATTTATTGACTAAACAATATGTGCAAAATAAAAGGTAATTAGGAACCCTCAATATTAATAATATGAAAGCTGCACAGAGAGAGAGAGAGACACACACACACACGAAATCCTCCACCCTCCTAGATGCGAATTGCAGCACTCAAAAACTTGCAATGGTACCCAGGACTTCTTCAAAAGCTTGCAATGGCACCAAAATGCATAAATTTTTGTTTTTTTAAGAAAAAGACGGCAAAGGACGAGCAACCGGAAATGGGACAAGCAGATCAGAGTAGAGAGACGTCAAACTTACTAATGCAAGAAGATCGAAGAAGATAGAAGATGAAGCTACTGATATGAGCAAATTGGAGGACGATAGAGAGATGAGAGGAGATTTGAAACTCACTGGAGATGGGAGAGGTAGGTTGGTGACGACTATGTGCAACTGGAGCAGAGTCGAGGCTCCAAGGATTCCAAGGATATCTGAAATTTGTTGGAGGGTATGCTTGGGGGTAAAATTTCTAACAATAATAAACGGAGCTAACGATAAAATCAATCTCGATAAGCTACTCTTCTCAGCTTACAGCAAAATTTGGCTTCAGTCCAAATAATCAATTATTAGAAAATGAGTGTGTGTGGATGATTTTCATCAAACCATGGTTTTGGTTCATGTAAGCGATACTAGCCCCTGTCAAAACAGGCTGTAAGTGGAAAGCTTCATCTGCTACGGCAATGAGTTTTTAAGTTGGGCAAATTTCACGATGGTGAAGAGCATGTTGGTGGGATGCCATCCTTGGTGATTAGTCACTCTTATAAGTAACATTAATCCGCAAGTATCCTAATGGTTAATCTTTAAAAAGAATTATTTTTAAATTATAGTTATAGTGTAATTATTATTTTTTACATTTCACATTGGTAATGAAATGTGTTTATTAAATTTTTTTATAATTTTTTAATAAATGTAAAAAAATAAATATTTTAATTCAGCCTATCCAAGTTAAATATAAATAATCTAGATCCACTTTCCCTTGTCAGAGAGATAGTGGAGGGATTTTCTCAAAGGCGGAAATCTAATTCCTACTTTTGTTTGTATATATATTTAATCTTATTTTAGAATTTATTTGGTACGATGGAAATGAGATGTGTGTGTATAAAAATGAAAATAAAATTAGGGAAAATGTTTGTTTGGTATGGTGTAATTGAAAAATTTTCCAACCTAATTTCGCCTAGAATTGGCTTCTTTGCTAATATCTATATATTTCAAATTTCA